TACAAATTAATTAATGCTCTAGTGTATAATACTTGCCGCCTTTTGTTCCCTATATATATCTCTCTCTTTTTCCCGGAATTAGGAAGGAGATGGGGTATTCTCACACACTGCCAAGGTACTATGAGGGAAGGAAATGGTATTCTCGCACGCATTGGTGTGCAAATCAAAGTTCTTTGCCACTAGGCTATACCCCGTTAGTCCCTATATATGTTAATTTACTATCTACTTCTGTCCATGGACGTTGAAAAGGAAACATGATCTGATAGAAAAAAAAAATGGGTCAGAAAGAAAAAAACCAATACATCCAGGGAGGTACTTGCAAAGTTTTTGCTAGTAGGTCATGGACAAAGCAAATTTGAGCTGCTTTTTTTGGGGGTTTTGGGAAGGTTCATGCATGGGCAAGGAAAAGAGCCTTTTTCATGAAGAGGCATGGACCTGTGTTGTTGTCCCTTCAGAAAACCGCTGACTTACTTCCATGACATGAACAACTTTATCAGATACAAAGGTGATCTTAAGACCTCACCATACTCCTCCTCATCACATAAAAAAGTTGAAGTGTCTCTTTTTTTTTTCAATTTCTTTTTTTTTCTCTCTTGTTGGGTTGGGAGGGCTGCTTAGTCATTTTCATTATGTGGATTGTTCTGCAATTAACTGAAAAGATGAGCAATCATTATATAAAGGGATTTAGAGTGAATCCACCAAACGATAGCAGTATATCCATAGCATACTACTAAAGCTTGTTGTACAACAGAATTTGAAGCATGCAACCAAGTATGCAGAAAGCAAAATCTACCACATGGATGTTCTTGTATTTGTACAGTATACTTCAAAGACGAAAAATCGAGCACTTGCAGACGATGAACTCTCATCTTATCAGTTAACCTACCTAATTACAAGAGATCCCATCCAAATTTGGTGAACAAAAGGAGAAAAGCTTAACGAAATCTTTCTTTTATGTCCTGTAGTGATTTTGCCTCTGGTATTTTTCATAATGTTATTGGTTTTGACTAATTTCCAAATGTTATGAGAGGGAAAAAAACAAAAAAATATACACCCATGACAGAAAGGAATAGATGAATAATTAAAGATTTGTCAATTTTTCGAAGGCGGCATGTCCCTCATAACCCCAATCATATAAACTATAGTTAGGTCCCTTCATACTCAAAATTTTCTATGAATTTATATATATAATTTTTTAATATATCCAGAACTGCACTAGAAACCATAAACTAATCTGTCCCTCCAAGGCCCTAGCTTTTAGTCTATTTCAAGGAAATTAAAGCAATGTTTTCCATTGAAAAAGCAGTTTGAAAGATTGAGGCAGCCAGTTCAATATCCCACTATCACATGATGAGAGATTTAAAGAGACTTAGATGAGATAGAAAGTAGCAGTGTTGTTATTAACCTCATCATGTCAAGCAATGCAATCACTATTATTCTCTTGCTTCTCAATATCTCTCTGTTTCCTGCCACCTCCTCTGCTCTGAACCAAGAGGGCCTCTCCCTACTTTCATGGCTTTCAACCTTTAATTCTTCTTCCTCTGCTACTTTTTTCTCTTCATGGAATCCAGCTGACCAGGATCCATGCAAATGGGATTATATCATATGTTCCAGCAGCAGGTTTGTTTCCGAAATCACAATCACCTCACTCAATGTTCCTACCAGTTTCCCAAGCCAGCTCCTCTCCTTCAACTATCTTTCCACCATTGTAATCTCAAATGGGAACCTCAGCGGGGAAATTCCACCCTCAATTGGAAACTTGTCTTCACTTACCACCCTGGATCTCAGCTTCAATGCTCTAACAGGTAAAATTCCACAGGAGATAGGAAAGTTATCCAAATTGCAGTTATTATCACTGAATTCCAATTCCTTGCATGGTGTCATTCCAAAAGAAATTGGAAACTGTTCACAGCTTCAACAACTTGAGCTGTACGATAACCAGCTATCCGGAAAGGTTCCTGCAGAAATAGGCCAGTTATCGGCTCTGGAAATCTTCCGTGCAGGCGGGAATCCTGGAATTCATGGGGAAATTCCAATGCAGATATCAAACTGCAAAGCACTAACTTTTCTTGGCCTTGCAGCTACGGGAATCACGGGGCAGATTCCAAGCAGCATAGGACAACTAGAGAATCTCCAAACACTTTCAGTCTATACTGCAAACCTCACAGGTGCCATCCCACCAGAAATTGGTAACTGTTCAGCCTTGGAAAATTTGTTTCTGTATGAAAACCAGCTTTCTGGTCATATTCCCGGTGAATTTAGTCGGTTGAAAAAACTCAGAAGAGTTCTACTGTGGAAGAACAATCTAACTGGAAGTATTCCAGGTGATTTAGGGAACTGTTCGCATTTGATAGTGATCGATTTCTCAATGAATCTTCTGAGTGGTGAGGTTCCTCCGTCTCTTGTAAATTTAGTGGCATTGGAGGAGTTTCTGCTGTCTGAGAATCATATATCAGGCAGCATACCACCTTTATTTGGAAACTTTTCCAGTTTAAAGCAACTGGAATTGGACAACAACAGATTTACTGGCAAGATTCCACCTGTCATTGGGAAACTAAAACAACTTACTCTGTTCTTTGCCTGGCAGAATCAGCTGCATGGAAGCATACCAACTGAGCTGGCCAATTGTGAGAAACTTCAAGCTTTGGACCTTTCACACAATCTCCTCAATGGGTCAGTTCCAAGTTCTCTCTTTGACCTCAAGAACTTAACTCAATTGTTGCTGATATCAAATCAACTTTCAGGAGTTCTTCCAACCAATATTGGTAACTGCACCAACTTGATCCGCTTACGGCTGGGATCAAACAACTTCACAGGTCAAATTCCATCTGAACTCAGGCTCCTTCATAGATTGACCTTCCTTGAATTGTCAGAAAATCAATTTAATGGGGAAATTCCTCCTGAAATCGGAAACTGTACCCAGTTAGAAATGGTTGATTTGCATGGCAACGAGCTCCAAGGCATGATTCCTTCATCTTTCCAATTCCTTACTGGTCTTAATGTTTTAGACCTTTCCATGAACATGATAGATGGCGTGATTCCTGAAAATTTGGGCAATCTGACATCCCTAAACAAACTGGTCATCAGTGGAAACCACATTACAGGTTCCATACCAAAATCATTGGGCTTCTGTAAGGATTTGCAGCTGTTGGATCTGAGCAGCAACAATATCACTGGCTCTATCCCAGATGAGATCGGACGCTTGCAAGGTCTAGATATTCTCTTGAATCTGAGTTGGAATTCTCTGACAAACCCCATTCCAGAAAGCTTCTCAAATCTCTCAAAACTTGCCAATATGGATCTCTCCCACAATATGCTGACAGGAAGCCTGAAAGTACTGGGCAGTCTCGACAATCTTGTGTCCCTGAATGTCTCATACAATGACTTTTCAGGTCCACTTCCCAATACTAATTTCTTCAAAGATATTCCATCAACTGCATATGAGGGCAACCCAAAGCTTTGCATTAACAGAAATGAGTGCCACTTGAACGGTAACCTGCATGACAAGAAATCCATCAGATATCTAATTGTTTGTGTTCTTCTTAGTGTGACTGCAACTATATTGCTTATGCTTGCTGGAATGGTTTTATTCGTTAGAGTTGCTGGAATCACATTTGGGATGGACAGTAAAGAAGAAAGTCATTTGATATGGGATTTCACCCCATTTCAAAAGCTTAATTTTTCTGTTAATGATATTGTGACTAGACTATCAGATTCAAACATCGTGGGGAAGGGTTGCTCAGGAATGGTGTATCGTGTGGAGACTCCGACAAAACAGGTCATTGCAGTGAAGAAGCTATGGCCGGTAAGTAACGGCGAGCATCCACAGATCGACTTGTTTTCTACAGAAGTTCGTACTCTTGGATCAATTAGGCATAAAAACATAGTGAGGCTTCTGGGATGTTGTAACAACGGAAAAACCAGACTGCTTTTGTTTGATTACATTAGCAATGGCAGTTTGGGTGGATTGCTCCATGAGACAAGGCTGTTCTTAGACTGGGATGCAAGGTACAAGATTGTACTGGGAGCAGGTCATGGTTTAGCTTATCTTCATCATGATTGTATACCTCCAATAGTTCATCGGGATATTAAGTCTAACAACATCTTGGTAGGACCACAGTATGAATCTTTTCTAGCAGATTTTGGCATTGCAAAGCTTTTGAGTTCTCCAGAATGCGGCAGAGCCTCCAACACAGTTGCAGGTTCTTATGGCTACATTGCTCCAGGTGAGTCTAAATTCCTCACATTCTTTTGTGGTCTGTTCATTGTGTTATTCGGGTTACTCAATCAAACCAGTCTAATGTCATAGTTGTTGAACTTGTTCACAACCCTTAATCTCTTATTCTTATTGTTGATGAATCCAGTTTCAATGTTATTTTGCTACCTATAAAGATGATGTAGGTCACATGGTTTTGATACCTGACTAACACTGCTTGTAATGTAATAATGTTTTGCAGAATATGGATATAGTTTGAGAATCACAGAAAAGAGCGATGTGTACAGCTATGGAGTGGTGCTCCTGGAGGTCCTAACCGGGAAGGAACCAATGGATAACAAGATTCCGGAGGGTGCCCATATTGTCACTTGGGTCAATAAGGAACTCCGAGAAAGGAAACGGGAATTCACATCAATTCTTGACCAGCAGCTAATATTGAGATCAGGGACACAAACCCAAGAGATGCTTCAGGTGCTTGGGGTGGCTCTGCTCTGTGTTAATCCTTGCCCAGAGGAAAGGCCAACAATGAAAGATGTAACAGCAATGCTCAAGGAGATCAGGCATGAAAATGAGGATTGTGAAAAACCAGATTTTCTTGGAAAAGGAGACGCGAAAGCTACAGTCCACAGTTCCAGTTTTTCCAGGGCATCTGAACCTCTAATTGGATCACCTTCTTGTTTTCCCACAAACCCCTAAAGTCATCATTCCACTTCATTAATTTTTATTTTTTGTTCAGGTAAAAAGATACAATTTGTATAGATTAATGTTGTGTAGTAGCAATAAGACATGTTTATTGTCTTTCACTATGATTCAGGATTGCATTATCAGATTGGGGGTTTTCTCCTCCATCTACCTTAGTGCAGATAGTAAGGCAAAAGTAAAATGTGCCTAGTTCAAAAGTAATAAGATACAATCAGATGCATGCTCTCCAGATGTGGAGAAACACTTGCATGAAATAGGGATAGCACTGTTTTGCTATCTCCGGCCAAAAGCGCTAGCATACGCGTGATAACTTTTCCACGTGGCATATCGTTATTAACCCGGAATAGCAAAATAGTGCTGTCCCTGTTTTTCCCAGATCAGAGGCTAGGTTTTATAATTCCAAGCAAATATATTAAAAGAGAAAAATATCCTCAACAGCATATACAGAATCCCACTCTAAACCTCATTTTGTTTCTACATATAACTAAGATTTCACTGTATCATCTGTCACATTTCGGTGACTAAAATTTAGAAAGAAGAAAGAAAAACTTTGAAACTTCATTATTTAAAGCCAAGATTCCAGCAGATTGTCCCAACAATGCAATAACCTGCTGCCATTGATAATGCAACTTCGTACTGCGTAAAATATCACACAAGGAGTGAGCAACAAAATTGCAATTATCAATTTGGGGACCAACAGCAGTAGTCATAGCTTTCAAGCCCCATTGGGCTTGTCTGTGGGGTCTTGTGCCGACTAAAAAAGCAATGGTCGAGGTGACAATCTTGTTTAGAATAAGCCACAGAAAAAAACATGATATTAGAAACAAATTGGACCACTATCCTTCTCGACCTTTTTCCAACAATTATTTTTCTGAAAAAGAGATATCATGTGCATGTTCTTGAAAGGATACACCGTCCTTGGACATGTGACACTGAACCATCTAAGGCCCACTCTGATTGTGTATTGTAACTCATCAGATTCTAATGGCTAATAATGCAAGCAACTATCCACTAATCGCTCTTCTAAATCTTTCAATAAAAGCAATAACAACTTTTAAGAATCGAAGCACAGTGCTTCAATCGGCATCCACTTTTTATCGATTTTTCCATTTTTGATCCCATTCTCGGCATGATTGATAATGTTAGGATAAAGAAGTTTTAAATCCTGCATTCTAATTGGTAGGTGAGATTTTAGAGCATTTACTTACTATAAATGTAAGAAGTTATGAATCGGGGAACTCAATAAACAAGAGAGGAATGAGAATGGGATCAACTCCTCCTACTCACTCAAATTCCTGATTTTTCAGGTATTGGATTACATAATTTTTATTCCATGTTTGTTAGTAAACACGGGAAAAGTCAAGACGTGGAATAATTCTAATACTCATGTATTAGTAAATGCACGAAAAGCATGAGTTGAAATAATTCCAATACAAAAATAAACATGTCATTAGGATTTTTTTAAAAAAATTTAGAGCCATCAAACCACCACCACCACCACCGGCTACAGGTAGTAGTACTAATCAAAAAGGCATCACGTTCATCACATTGGATTTATCAATCACCCTAGAATGTCATACACTCACCATGAATTCCAACATCTAATCTATCATTATTTCATACTTTCACAACCTACCATCCACTTAATATTATCCTAACTCATTCATCCGTTGATGAATTCAAGTTCCAATCTAGTCACAAAAGGAAGGGTGGGATTTGGAAAGGGAAAACCTACCCCTCATTGTATCGACAATAAAATAAATAAATAAATAAATAAAATCATGCATCGACCAAGGAATGTGACAGCAGGAAAATCCAATAAGAAATGGAAAAGATGTTCTTATCAGCTGTTAAAGGTGAAAAGTCTCCAAACGTATCCTGTCAACATCCTACAGCTTATACATCAAAAGACAGCCTTATAGTAGCATAGAGAACATACCATAACATTTTCTGCTTTAGGCCATGTCCATGATTTTGCATGTGTTGGTGCAATTAGTTGCATGGTTTTTACGATGAGTTCATGGGGTTTTTTTATTTCTCCTGTATAAATTAATAGACTGAAATTAAAACAGCACAAGAATCATCGAAGATCAAGTGTGCAAAAATCATCAGACATCCCATATCTTGAGGGGGATGACTTTAGTGATCATTACAATAAATAAAAAGTTTCCAATTACAAATTAAGAAAATAATAATTATATTACATTAGTTCCTAGCTTTATAAGGTTTCAGAAATACCAAGCAATGAAAAAGGAAGATTTGAGGATTGGAGAGAAACAAGAAGAAGAAGAAATTATAAGTTACATTCTGATATCAAAATGGCTGTCGGCCTTTACAAAGAAATTCCTGAAAGAAAATTTTTACTCACAGCTTATAATCTCAAGAAAATTGAAACCAAGATTTGCATATCACAGTTTTCTCTCTGGGTGCCACTTTATGCTGCATCCAACACTACAAAAAAAAAAGAAAAAAGGGGGGGGGGGAAAGCAATTACTTTTAGAATGTAACCATGGCTGAACATAATCCTAAAGACCTGACAAACGTCGCATAAGAAAGAAGTACCTTGGTTTCTGAATCGATGGTACCGGTTGGCCACTGAGAACACAATCTATTGCCAGGCTCAAGTCCCTACATAGAGTTTTCTAAATCAGTTTCCACGCCTTACAATAGAAGTCATAATGCTAATATGAAAACGAATTTCCTACCTTCCACTTACAGACACATTATTACTAGGTCTTGAATCATCAAACTGTCCATGGTACACCAGTTCAAATGGCCTCCGTCCATCCTATTACACGGTAATAAATTTAGTTGCATGCTAGAAAGGGTAAAACAAATAGAAGTTGGATTAACTCAAATTGAGATACAGTGATAAGTTTACAATGAGTCCCCTAAAGGAAAGCTGAAATGAGGTAGTGTTCTTGAGTAATTTCAGCAAATCGATTGGTGCAGGTTGTGGTCACCTTTTTAAATAGAAAAAACTCGGGTGTACAAATTGCTCCAAAATCCCGGGCGACATCCTGTGACTGTATTAAATATATTTAACAAAGATAATGAATTAGAGAGTTACCAAGCATAACTGTGTTTCAATCAAATTGATATAGTATTACACTTAACAGAACGTGCGACCTGAAGTTCTACTGCCCTCAAAATCTCAATTTAGGAATGCTAACAGCTAACAAAAAAACCATGAAAACCAGTAAAATAGGAAAAGGGAAAGAAGAGACTCAAGTTGCTCAGGTTAAGGAATAACCAAGACCATCATTTCTTTTTCTTTTTTTCTTTCTAAAAAGCCTCACTCTAAGGGCAACTTCGTATATTCTTCAATACATCTAATTTTACACTTGGAAGGAAATTCTGTTTTTCAGGGATCAATGTTTTAAAATGAACAATGAAGAGTCCCAGCCTGTCATGCATGCATGCCAAATATCAAGCTAGCCCCGCCCTTGGAGCCATTAGTACCTCCTATTCTCCAATGTTTAAAGATTAGCTAAAGTTGGGAAATTGTGCAAAAAACTATCCCTTTGCAAACTTACTAGCCAAATACTACCCACCCTATAATCATTTATCAAATACTATCTATAAATACTCTCTTATTGCCTACTTAACACTTTTCTCACTTTTTTCTTTTCTCTCTCAGCGCCCTCTTCGCTCTCTCTCCCTATATCTGGTTTTGGGTCTTTTGATTTCCACCTAAAATCTCATTTCAATCCCTTCCTTTCTTTTTTAATTTGGGCCTTTCTTTTGTGATTTTGTTCTTCTGCTGGGAATATAGGAAGCGGAAGAGGAAGAGCTCTTCTTGGTTCTTTTCAGCAGAACCTGGTGGCTTGGCTGTTAAGGTCGCAGATGGAGGTGAGTTGAGCTTTGAGGTTGAAACAGCTGCAAGCTTAGGCAATTCAGAAGAGAGAGCTAAAAGATGGGGTCAATGGTGGGTTTCGCGATACAACATCAATATAACACCAATAACCAGCTATGTAACACCAATAACACAGCAATATACAACAATACCATAGCAATATAACATCAATATAACACCAATAACACAGAAATACACAACAATACAAAGACAAGCCCTACAGCCAATGACAGCTGAAAACAAAAAGTCACAATGACTGCTCTCTTGTTCTTTTGTCTCATTAGCTTCTTCTCTTAATCTCTCTAGATTTCTAAGTTCTCTGTACTCGTGCTACATCAATTAAAAACAACAGTTTGTACTCACCCCAAAAATGAGTCATTGTGACTTTTTTGTTTGCAGCTATCATGGGATGAAGGGTTTGTCTTTGCATTGTTGTGTATTGCTGTGTTATTGGTCCTATATTGATGTTTTATTGCTAAGGTATTGCTGTTATATTGATGTGCTATTGGTGTTAATTGCTGTGTTACTGTAATTTAATAGGAATATATGTTAATATCATTTTTCTTCTGAATCGCGAAACCTACAAAGCTCAAGTCCATTGTCGACCTCCAGATGCAATCTTAACAGCCAAGCCACTAGGTTCTGCAGAAAAGACCCAAGAAGAGCTCTTCCTGTTCCGCTTCTTATAGTCCCAGCAGAAGAACAAATCACAAAAGAAAGGCCCAAAATAAAAAAGAAATGAAGGGATTGAAATGGGATTTTAGGTGGAAATCAAAAGACCCAAAACCGACATAGAGAATCATCAATTAAGAGGCATGAAACAATCATCAATTAACCAAGTTCATTACAAGAAAGGGTAAACAAACCTATTGATTGAGTGCTTGAGATTGATTTGCAAGAAACAAAAGAGAAAAGAAACTTTGAGAACTGAGAGAGAGAGCGAAGAGGGAGTTGAGAGAGAAGAAAAAAATGATAAAAAGTGTGAAGTAGGCAATAAGACAGTATTTATAGATAGTATTTAAATGATTATAAGGTGGGTAGTATTTGGCCAATAAATTTGTAAAAGGATAGTATTTTGCCCAATTTCCCGATAAAGTTCAAGTTTGGATGTACATTGAGAAACTTAATTTTAATAGATTCATGTGTGCATGCACACATGAATGAGAGTTTTGCAGTTGGACCAAAACCTAGCCAGATTCTTATGAGAGCAAAAGATTGTCACTCAACCATTGCACATTTCCAAAAGCCATATTGAGAAACAAAATGAAATAAGAAATGCCAGATTTATAAAGCTGTTGAGATTGGCACTTTGGAAGTAGCATACCTCGTCATATAGATATGGAAAAGGATATTTGAACAGCTTAACTTCTTCTGCCATGAATTGTGGTCCATCCTGTCAGGAAGAGTTCCCACACTTTGACTGATCATACAACAGCTTCACAAACTCTAACCCCAAATTATGGAGTTAGTACAAGTGTAGTACCTGTGGATGCGTAGCTACAGAATTCGAAGATATCGCAACAACTGCAAGTCCTTTCTGAAAAAAGAAAGAATGATATTAATAATAACAATATATTTGAAATAAATAAACACATTTGAACATGTTACTATCCTACATTAATTTGCTCAGTGAAGTTTGGTACAACACTTTAAAGCGATTCAAGCCTCTCAGAAGGAGCAAATTCAGCTGCCTTACCTTCATATAGAAATTTGCAAGCTTCACGATACCCTTTTTCAGGTGTTTAACAAATGGGCAGTGGTTGCAGATAAACATCACCTGCACCATCACACTGTTAAAATGCATCTAATCCTTGCTTATATGTGAAGAAAGATAGAATACAAGCAACCAAATTTTTTATTTAGTAAAGAAAACCCATGAGTTCACTTCCTGCATGAAGAGTAGCAGTATTACAGATTGTGGTTTACAGGTTGTGTTGATCTGTTCCTAAACCCTTGCATAAGTCTTCTTTCTTTCTTATTTTCCAGCGCTACAAACCTAGTTCACGTGCATATATGCACAGAAAAAATTGGCATAATGCTGAAAGGCCCAAAACTTTTTAAAGGTCCTGCAGTGGCACATAGATCCACTTACTAATAAAGTACTCAGTGGAAAATGTTCCAGTTAAATCAGAATAACATTGGTAACCTCAAGAAATGACTCCTAGTACAATTATTCAACTACAGTTCTTTGGTTTTATCTTACTGAGTAAACTGTTGGCCAATAATTAGCATTTGAAAAGAAAAAGGGTCCCTGCCACATGTAAGGTTTTTTTTTTTCCTCAAAATTAATATACCAATTATGTAAATTGATATATGTGGCATTAAACTAATCTTATACCTATAATTGCATAAATTCATGGACATGTAAACTAGCTTAGCAACTGAAAATAACTATCAGACTACCTAGGACTCCAGACAATTCTTCAATTTTCAAGGCTGACAGACATAATTAGTGGCATTCTTGCTTTATACACACTCTATCTTAGTGAAATGTCAAGCTTCCATGGTTGGGAAAAATGGTGACATGCCATCTGTTTTTAAGCTGTATAAAGCTCACAACCACATGTTTTTCTGAGTATCTGATATCTGGCAGAGTAACAGATGGCTGTTATTACTAAAGTAACTTGTTCTGAAAAAACAAAAAACAAAAGAAAAACTTGAGGCCATATGAGCTGAAGGTAGTAACATTTTAATTTTATTCTCAGTTCATTCAGCAATTCGCTACACTCTACGGATTGATCTTGGCTTACCTGGTTCATAAATAAGCTCAAATCTGCTGCTTAACTATCAGAGCTCAAGTTAAGCACAAGCAGCCTGATTATGATTTAAGCAATTGTAAATTCCCAAGCAAGGGAAAAATGCTAGCTTTTCAAAGTGAATAAAAACTGAAGAAATATGACAGTAACCATTACTTTTCTCACACACACACTATCAAGGTGCCATTTAAATGCATGAAAGACGACGTATGGTTTAGTACTATTCGTTTAATATTTAGAATATGTACTCATTTTCTATATAGCTTTTTACTTAAATCCCATTATGGAATATTAGCACCTCCACATTGTCCTAATCAGGCACTGCAAATTCCTCATACAAGAATTTTCCCTTTACAACTTGGGCATTCCAACGAATAGTTGCATTCAAATGCTCATAAGACAAAACGATATTAAATCATTTGAAGCCGTTATTTCATAAGAACTCACTCAGTTCCTTTTAGTTTATCTAGTATCAATTCACAAAATATCAAATACAGACATATATAATCACAAAATCAAACAACCAAACAAAAAACAACAGCCATCCAAAGCAAAACAAATACACAACGAGAACTCACCAGTAAGGCAGGATGTGATTCAAAATCCTCTAGTTTCCAAACGTTCCCAGTAAGTGGCTCTGGAATCTAAAATCAATTCCCCAAAATAATCAAAACAAAGAATAAAAACTCACGCGCACACACTCAAACGGAAGAATAAATTGTGAACCCAGTTCGGAACAAATCTAAAAAGAAATGAAAAGGAAAAAAAATCAGTACATATATAGTACCTCAAAATTGGGAGCTCGGAAGCCCAAAGAGACCCCTTTGGACTCGGTTCTAGCTGCTCGAACCACAAGCTTTCTTGCGGGTAGGGTGGTCCGCAGTTGCAGAGATTCAAAACCTAATTCGAAGGATGAGCATTTTGTTAAGAACTGGGACACAAATTTGGTTGAGTTGCGCGGTGAGCGCAGTGGACATGCGCACACTGTGTTCACAGGAACTGTGGCAACCGCCATGGCTGATAAGTTGCGGGAAGGTAATTCTACGGCTAGAAAATGGCCGCTCTTTTATTTGTTAATTCTTGTTTTTTTGTTAAAAAGACAAGAGTAATAGTTCTGAATTTGTTCCGGATTTGCGTTTTGGTCATTGAATTCAGAAAATGGTTGTGGTAGTCCTCGACTCCACTTTTTTTTTCTTTTTTTTTTCTTTTTTTGGTGAAGAAAAGTTTTGAGGGAGATTGGTTACTCTCAGCACCAGTTTCAGAATAGACCCATAATTTCGAGATAGAAGAACTTATGCATGACATCCAACTGTTAGCTGCTACCAGTATGGACTTATGTAGGAAATTATAGATCACGCACCAACAAGTACTACTGGCAGCAAAACTCAAACATTGGTGGGGCTACACACAGTGTAGGAACCTTACAAACTGAATCAACCCTCATTGGCAAACTGACCTAACATGCAGGAAGCGAGCTCGAACCCCTACCCATTTGTTAAAGAAAAGGAACATGAAACCAACTCAACCAAAAAACTCTCATTTTTTTTCCTTCAACTCCACTTTTGTTAACAACGTTGGTCCTACGGTTAATCCTTTACATTTTATGTTAGATCTAGGGGTAAAATAGTCATTTTAGGTTGTTTTTAGTTCTCATCATTGTGGAAGGCAACTTGATAAAATAAAAATAAAAAAAGGTGGGCATTAGAACTGGGGAACCGACCCGAAATGAGTTGAAAATTGGGAAAAATAAATCATGTTGACCAAAAATTCTACTTATGCTTAAAAATCGAACCAAACCGTTTTGGGTCGATTCCTACCCTGATTCTTGTCTTGGAAAATTCGGTCTAAATCAAAATCGGTCTTAATTCAAATCAAAACCTCATCATTCGAACATCCAGATAAAGTTTAGGATTAATCAAATCAATACTTAGTTAATTAGTCTTAGTTTCTGCGGAATGATACTCACTTACTACTACACTATTTTGCTACGATTTTGTGCTCTACAACTTCGTTATCACCCATTCATTTATATCCAAACTTATTAGTAAGCCTAAGTAATATTCAAATCACATTAGTAACTTCAAGTAATATCTAGATATTTTAGCCCAATTAATACCCAAATGCCTTAGTTTCAGTTTATACCAAAGTCAACCGAAGTCCTAATTTTCTACCGAAATCTTGAATGACAGGACCCGCCCCAGAATTTCCCCTGATCCCGAGGCGGATCCCGTCTTGGTGCCGACATCACACCGATGCCGGGCCCACTTACTAAAAATCCAAGACATCCTACCAAAATTTTGGCAGAGTCTCCCCTGTAAAGTGCTCAAACCCAACAATAATCAACCTGCACAATTTACATCAATATCTATATTCCAACTGCCAGCATGCTTTTAACATACAACAATCCAACATAAAATGGCCTCCGGCCTCAAGTAGTAGCCTAACATGGGCTATAACAGAGCGTCTACAGAATTTGTTTACAGCAAACAGGGGAGTAGAAAGAATTTACACAGACCCTAACAACTGACGACAAGATTGGAGCTCGTGACTTGCTCGGACGCCTTCGAAAGCAACTACTGTCTGGGGGGCGCAAAACAGAAATATGTGAGTGGACAGAAATAAAGTTTCACTTTAAATCAACATAATAACCCCACCATGTAAAAATAATGCTCTAGCATGCAGTTTCACAATTCAGAAACCAAAAACTCAAAACACAAAATCCCAAAGTCCAAAACAGCTCCACAACTCAAAACCATCACTCGTTTCCCAATGATATATGCAACTCTCATCAACCCGTAAATACCCATATATAAATATATATATATAGCTAGAACTTTAATATAATATATACTCCTCTCCATACTAATGTACCGGAGAGACAATCCAACTGTGGGATTGTTAGCTGGTACGCAGGATTTCCGAACACTAACCCGCGTCCAGGGATGAGTAGTCCAACCGGGGGACGGAACTCCATAGCTCACACACCGGCACTGCCAACGACACGTGTAGCTCATAAATCTCATATCAAGTCCTACGCGCGCAGACAGTATCATCACCCCACCGGCACTGCCAACGACGTGTGTGAT